GCAATTGTCAATATTTGATGGACTCATCAATTTTACCGCAATTTCAACTTGACGAGAGCCAATTGAAATGCCACTGACAGCGCTGCTCTGCTGGACTCTCTATGTTTAACTCTCCATCTCTTTCTGCTTCTCCTTCTCGTTCTCGTTCGCGTTCTCCTTATGTTTCGCTTTCTGTTTTGCTTTCTTTCCGTTTTGTGCATACGTCTCTGGGCTGACATTTGACATGATTATGTACATTTGTTGTGCGGCGAGTAACGGTTGCTGTCGCCGCAATTTGCATTCCATGCTTGGCGATAGATGGCAGCAGAGTGCGGGGAGGGGTAAAGCGACCAGTAAACCAACGACGCCAAAAACTCTAATCTATCAGCGGGTATGTTCTCTATGTGTGTGTGTGTGTGTGTATGTGTTTGTGTGTGTGTGTTTCTGGCTCGACTATTCTGCACTTTGGCTTTGGCAAGGCTTTCATTTTGTCACACATCCTCATTCTTGTTTTTCCTTGCTAAACACACACACACACCCAGAAACACACACACACACACAGAAACAAACACACACACACAGAAACACACACACACACACACACTCACACACACACGTACAGGCGGCGTCCTTTACAAGTGTCGAGCTAGGCAGAAGTGTCCTTACAACATTTTTACTTTGTAACGCAAATTCTGAAGTAAGCATGAATAATGCATGCATCGTGTGTAATTCTTCAAGTACTTTTGCCGTGCCAACGACAGGCACACATCAGCAATGTTACACCCCCCCACCCTCCCCCTCCCCGCTGCCGCCCCCCTGCCCCTAACCCTAACTCCACACACACTTAACCCACACCTACCGCAGCAACCGCCATAGCTGCCCTTAGAAGCCGGCCAAAAAACAACAACCGCTTTTCAGTCAACCTATTTATATTTTTCACATTTTTTCCTTGCTTGCAATTTTTGTTTTTTTGAGCGGGTGTTGAAATTTATTGCGCGCTCTTTTGAATTACAAATTTATTTTAATATTTGGTAGTACGCAAAGACCTCAAGCTTAAATATGTATATGAGCATATAGAAACATGTATTTACACATGTATATATATATATATATATATATATATATATATGTATATTTGGGCCATATTCTGGCTGCAAGTGTGTTTCATATAAACCATGTGAATTAAACCAAAAATAACAATCTACTCAGTCACTTCTCACTCGATGTGAATCAAACAATCTGGCAAACAATTAATTATCATTGGCTCTGCCGATTGACATACTTTTAATTGATCGATATTGCACCTTTGAGTTGTATATATCAAATAGCATATCATTTTGTATCAGCAGTGACAGACGGCATAGCTAAATTATTGATATGTCTGCGTGCAGCTCTGTTACCCCATCTTGTTCTATTCTTTTTCAAATTGCCTGTCATTATTTGCAAAATACATAATTCTATTGTCATGCACTGTGTGTGGGAGACACTCACTGACAGCAGTGGGAACTCTGACAAACTGGGTTATGCATGCTTAAGGGGCCGGAAGAAACCAAAACCAAAACCACAACCAAACCAAATCGAATCGAATCGTTCCAAACTGAACCACTCCGATAGACTGGACTGGACTGGACTGGGCTTGGGTTGGGTTGGGCTGGTTTCAACTGCTAGGTGCAATTCTCAAATAGAACCCGGTTTGGTAGGCGAAGTGGACTTCTGAAGTGGTTGGCTATTTAGTTTTTGCATTATTCAGTTATCGCTCCTGCACTGGACATGTCTTTGGATATCGATTCAAGTTGTTGCGAGTGCTTCTAAGTAAGTTGTTGATTTAAAATTGCCTATGAATTATGATAATGAGGCAACATGCAATGAAAGCGCCTATTTCTGACAGACCCTAAACAAAAGTCAATCAGCACAAAATGCTCTTCACTCTGCCATACATTTGCTGAGATCCAATAATAACTAAGTAGAGCAGAGTAAATTCAAATAAAAGTATAAAAAAAATAAATATAAATATTCAAATATATTCAGCGATTTACAAATTAATTATTATTTAATTATACCAAATATATTTATATATGAATTTCACCAAATATTTGCGTAAAAATTCAATTTGTGGCAAAATCTGATCCATTTAAGCTACTGTATGTGTGTGTGAGTGTGTGTGTATGTGTGTGTGTGTTAATGTATTTTTACCATACTCCTAATATGTCCAATTATTTCGTTGCCTCAATTTAATGTTGTGCGCTCGTGCCCTGCCTTAGGTATATAATGCTATTAGTGACCTCCTCACCCGGCGCAAAGCTATATATATATATATATATATATATATAGCTTATATATATATACATATAAAAAGAGCAGAAGAAATTTTAAAATTGCTGCTGCCTTCGAAGGAAAATTCACTTTGTCATTTACGCAGCCATTAGCCGGAGCGACAAAATGTATTTCTTGGCTTTCTTGGCTGGCAACGTGTCACGTCAAAAAGTGGGCTAGCTATCTAGCAGCCTACATCCGTTGGCCAACCCAACCCAACCCAACTCAAACCAAACCAAACCAAACTCAACCCAAGCCATCCTGTTAAGCTGACCAAATGAGTACCAGCATTCGGCTGCTGGGCCCCAAAGTGGCCAACTCTCAATTGGGGCGGGAGAGGCGTGCCACCCACAAAGATTGAAACTTTTAAAAGTTTACAGCTTTTCACTTTTTTTTTTGTTTTTTTTTTTTTTTCATTCTGCTTTCTTTTCAATTTGGAAACGAAGCCAAAAACCCAACTGCCTGGACCCAAAAAGTGGCCACTGTGCGTCGTTAATGGTTTTCACAAAAACTTACGAAACAAACTACAGCGTTCCTGACATAGACAGCCGCCTCCACACAGCAGCCTTTCCCCTCTGTCTTACAGCTTTCCAGTTTTCCACATTCACGTCCTCGTCCACGACCAGGACCAGGTCCAACGAGCAACGAGCGACCGGTGCTCGGGGCACGTCAAAGCCCTCAGTGGCGGGCAAAAAGTGAGGAAAAGGTGAACGCGTCCCAGCACGAGGTTGGATCATTAAGTAATCTTAAATATCATGGCTAAATTTAAATGCAACTTTTTACCAAATAAACCCAAATATTAGCAAGCTTTGCTAAGGCTGGCAACACTCTAAAAAACATTCCAAAAATATTTTGAATGAAATTTATATTTAACATAACAATTTTGATTGAATTCATTTAGCAGAAGTAGTTTAATTGTATAAAATGAAATAGTCTAGTTAACTAAACGCTCAAAAAGGCTACTTAGATTGTTCAAATATTTATATATATCTGCCTGCTTAATTCTTTGTAAAGAAAAAATGTGAAAAATGGGGCAAAAGCATTCTTCTCTCTTGCTAGGAAAGTAAACATACAAAAATATATATTTATATTGCTTTTGTATTTCTATATAAATCTGCTTGCATAATGTTTACTGGCTCAACCGGAAGCAAGTCTTGCGCTAAGCAAATCCTGTAAATGTTGCTGAGCTTATGCAATCATTGAAATTCACATGGCAACCCTCGTGCGGGGCACGCACAATGCACCATAATGTCACGTACTTTCACTTTTCTGTTGTCGCCCAGGCTGGCTGGGAGAATGGTTTGCTGGGTGTTGGATGTTGGGTCCATTTCAGTAGCAAATGGGCACTGCTCGACTTCAATGGGTAACCCCACCCATCCCCCCTTTGAACAGCGAACCTATTCAGTGGCTTCATGCGTTTGAATTCTATTAGCCGGAGAAAGGATTTGCCTGCTTGCTTTTGAAATGGTTTTGCTGGGTGGTTGGGGGGTGTGCGAGCCTCACTGTTGCTGTCATAAGCACTTTTGCAGTGTGGCCATATCTTTAGCCAAAATGCCTTCCAGCTACCCAGCATCGTATAGAACACCCTCCGGTCTATGGCCGTTACATTTCACCATTTACCCTGGGGTGTGTTTTCATCATTTTCGTTTTCGTTGCTGCTTGTTCCTTGTTGCCTTGTCGCCTTGCATCCAATTGACATTTCCAGCTTAAGTCATTGTATAAGGCAGCAACACACACACACACACACACACACACACTAAAGAGTATGAATGCCAGAATCGAGCCTGGGACGAGTAGCATGCTAAAGCTGTCCGCCATTGAAGCCAACAGCTAAGCAGAGCACTCAGTCAGTCAGTCAGTCAGTCAGTCAGTCAGTCAGTCAGACAGTCAGTCAGTCAGTCAGTCAGTCAGTCAGTCAGTCAGTCAGTCAGTCAGTCAGTTAGTCAGTCAGTCAGTCAGGCATTCAGAGAGCTCAAGAGAAACAAAGCGCTAGAAAGGAAGTGCGAAAGTAAAGTGCAAAAGCTGCAATGCTTACAAAAGGCGTACACAATTACAGCGCACTGTCTAGATGAGCTTATCTTTGGGGGTGGGTTGGGCTGCCCTGCTAGTTAAAGCTGTAAGGGATTGGGGCTGGAGATGGGGTCTGTAGAGAGAAATGGCTTCGTGTTTACACAAAAACATTTACACTGATCCGGAGTTAGGCATCGACTGATGTCGAGCTGATGTCAGCTGATGTTACGGACCTTTTGGCTAAATTCCAACTAATATTTGGGGAAAGAGCGAGAGTTTGAAAGAGAGGGTGCTAAACCACAAGAATAAGCAAACAAAAGCAAAGTTAGAAATAGAGGGAGAGAGAGAGAGAGAAAGTTTGCTTTAACTAATGTGCCCAGTTAAAAAATTCGTAAGACAAATCTAAGGTTTATAATAACTCCAACTCATTGTTTTGGAATAGAATTTGTGATAAATTGTGCGTTGCTCAATCTAAAAGTAGTACTGATATTGGTTCAAACTTAAATTCGAAAATCGCATAAATTTTGGAATAGTTATAACTGTGGAAAGTCATAAACCGACGCGAATTTCAACATGGAAAGCGGTCAAGCGCTTGAAAATCGGATTACCATCAGCTAAGTTGTTCTTTGGCAAATTGCGTTTTTAAATTTAAATATAATATTGTTTTAGATGTTGAGTCGTGATAAAAAGTCTAGGATTTTGAAAATCGGACTACTTTTGTCAAAGCTTTGGTTTTGGATAATTTTAAAGCGTTCTCAAGGCACTTCTTGGGGGTAGAATTGTAAAATGGAGCCAGAATTGTATTTGTAAATTTAAATTTAGTATGCCCTCGTTTTCAAATTTAAATATAATATTGTTCTAGATGTCAGACACTGATTGAAAAGCTCTGGTTCTTTCAAATCGGATGAGATTTGACAAAGCTATGGCTGCAGATAAATGTAGATAAATATGGGTTTCAATGGGCTTGGCGAAATCAACAATAGCATGGTTTTTAAGTATATTTTTGTTTCAGTAACGTTTGTTTTAAGAATAATAATAAAATACGAAAAGAAACGTTTCCAGCTCAGTTGTAAGGAAACGAGGGAAAACAGCTGATTTTAGCAATCTCTCGATGAGAACAAACAGTGTCCGCTGAGAAGGCTGTATCTGAAATGGGTGCCACATAAGCGAAATAATAAATACCAAATGATTTCATTATGAATGTCAGGCAGACATTTATTGCTAAACAGCCGTCTGTCTATCAGCAGCAGCAGCAGCCGACGAGGAACAGGGTGGAATGATGCTTTCTGGTGGCATTTCATTCATTACAAGAAATTGCGTTGGCAATAGCGAAAAAAATGTCTTAATTTCGTTTCATTTCATTTCATCAGCAATGGCTGGCAGCAGCTACAAGATTTACAACATACTGAGCGCATAAAATAAAAATCTTTTCTATTTTTTCCATTCTTGTTTGCTAAAATGCCAGCGAGGGGCGAACGAAATAAATAAATAAAGTACAACAAAAAAAAAAAAAAAACAGCAAAAACAACAAAAACAACCTTAGAAATAGTAGAATGAATAAAAATACTTGAACGTATAAAAGGCAGCGACCAACAAACTGACAAAGCTTCGCTTCTCACACTCCCCACTGTCCCCCAAAAACAGAAGAAGGCGTTGACAACGTTAATAGTTATGGGTGTGGTGGTGGTTGGGTATGGTTGGTGGAGTGAAGTGGAGTGGAGTGGTTGTACTACACCATCCAATTGGAACGCATTTTTCTGCGAATGCAATAAAACGCACATGTGTTTCCAATCGTCCTGCACGTCCTGCCCCAGCCACCGTCATAATTTCGATGTGTTTGGCACAAATAAATTTGATTTTGAGCGAATTTTTCTGAAGATTGACGAACTGTTTGACTGTCTGACTGTCTGACTGTCCGACTGACTGACAGTTCCCAGTTCCCTGACGACGAATTGTAGTTAACTCCTGGGGTTGGGAGGGATTGCAGCCGCTTACCAAGGCAACCAACCAACTTTGCTTTTGCTGAGTTTTGCGATTTCCGCAATAGTCGAAATAATTCTGTGCATTGACCTCCTTCGTTCCATTGTGCAAAGGACCGACAATGGAGAGGGGAGTGCGGCTTAGCTCAGCCACGCGATAAGTTAAGGAAATTGAAACCGTATTCAAGTAATAATAAGAATAATAATAATAATAATAATAATAATAATAATAATAATTCATACAATGTGTATTTTCGTCGCACAAAGCAACACTAGGCAAAAATCCAGGTCGTTGCTAACAGCAATTTGATAAAAGTGATATGAATAATTTAGCTGTGCATGTGGATAAATATTTTGAATGCCTTTAGGCAACAATCAATTGGATCGATTCCTTTGATTCATAGCTCAATGTTCGATGGTCTCGTTGGCAATTTCTCTTTTTACCCATTGACAAAATCAGACTAACGCTTTTTTTTTGGCAACCACTGCTTAATTGTGGCTCGAATGAACTTTACGAGGGTTGCCAGCAAAATAATTGGAAAAAAGGTTGTCACCTTTCCAAACGCTCAAGATATCAATGAAATCATTAACAATATATTTGTGAATATTCATTTATATAAAATGAATTGATAAATCTTTCATTTTAGGCAATTACTTTCGAGACTGAAAGAAGAAAGTGAATGCAAATCTTAAATACATAATTGGCAAGCCTCGCAAACGGATAATTCACAACTAGGGATTGGGAAGGGTGGAGGGAGGGGCATGTGGGTGGTTGGCTGTTGCACAATATTGTAGGACAAGCATGCCATTGGCAAGGACAGCTGTGAAAGCCGGTGCCGGGCGACTCTCAGAGGTGTTGCCAAACCAAGAAAAGCTTCCAATCAGCAAAAAAAGAGAAGAAAATAGAAGAAGAAGAAAGAGAACAGATATGAAATAGAAGTAAGAAAAGATATTTGCACGGTGTGTGAATACCCTTATCCAAAATGAAATCAAATTAAATCGATTTTGTGTGTAGTAAATCAATCTTATTGCAAATCCAAAGCAATCAAGTTGAAATCATCAAAGTGGCTAAAAACAAACCTATTTCAACGTATCCTGTTACAAATGTATAATACCCATGGCAAGGGTATAAAACCGCATAGATGAGGGACAGCATGTGGCAAAGGGAAGGCAAACAACTACATATTTAGTGTTTATTTCGCATTTATTGGGGACAGTTTTGGCCGCTTTTTGGTGGGATGAGTGAGAACGTTGCCAATAGAATGAAATCAGCAAGAAATAAATATCCTTGTCGCATATACGCGCTGAACAGCCTGTCATAGCTCCCACACACACACACACACACACACACACACACACACACATACACATACAAACACCCACACACATGACAACAATATAGGAGTATAAATTGTTTCCAGGTCATTGGTTATCCAGCCACAGAAATACGAAAATGAAATTAAGTACAAAATGAACTAAACCCAAAAATCATATGACGTTGATGATTATGATGAGAACGACAGCGACAACGACAACGAGGATAACAACAACGATAGCAAAAACAACAAAAGCAACAAAAACAACAATAACAACAATAACAACAGCAATGTCGCATTTGAGTCAAGAAATGCTCGCTTGAATGATTGTGTATGGCAGCCAGACATGAAGTCAAAGTCAAAGGAGCTGCCAACTCGTCTGCGTATTGGCCACATTAAAATGAAAGTCAAATGCCTTTGGCCTTTTGTGACTGTTGCCTCAATTGATGCGTGCAGTTTTAATGGTCAAAACACAACACCAATTACCAAATCGAGCACGTTTCAAACGAGCTCCACAAATGTACAAAATTTGAAGAGCAATTTTGCCAGTTTGCAATTGAATAAAACGTTAATAAAAATCAGGAAATAGCAGCTCACTTAAACTTTAACTTCTATCACTTGCTATACATTTCAATAATCGATCGAATAATATAGCATTGCCCGATATTGATGTATTTTGCCCATATCTGGTGATTTTTGTCTGGATAAATAGGTATATAAAAAAATCCCTTTCAAATAATAACTCAACTTTTGAAATATTGTTTATGAGCTATGTGATATAGCGATACGATCCGGCAAGTTTCAAAATTTCAACTTCATTCCAAGATTTATCGAGAAAGTGTTGTGTTTTTCAATAGATGCACATTTCAATTATTTCATTTTATATGTTTTATATGTAATTATTATTAATTCATTTCAGTATGAACTTTGCTCGAGTAAATCTATTATGTGCATCATTTTTCCCCTTCACAGCACAAGTAATTTTGAGAGATCTTTTATCAATTTCTGGGTAAGTAATTTTCACAAATTTGGCCATATTTAATGTGCAAATGTTAGAGTAAGTAAAGCTTGCTTAATACATATTTATTTTTATTGCTTGCCATTTGAATAAAGTGTTTGCTTTTAATAAACACATTTCGCTAAGCACTTTCTCTGCGTTGTGGGTGGTAGGAGTACATTTTGTAAATTCAACTGCTTCCGTTTGTGCTTAACGCCACACCATACCGACTCGCCCCGCCCCGCCCCGTAGCGCCATTTCACACACCACCCTCAACCCGCAGACGCATTTTACTGTTATTTCAGCATTAAAAGTTCATTCGAGTGGCAGAGGAAGTGAAAACAATTATCTGCAGGAAGGTGAAACATAAATCCTCGAATCCAAAAGTAAATTGCAAATTTCGTTTATTACTTTCTATGTCAACCACCCAGCACAACCCAATCCAATCCCATACCAACAAGAACCGAATCCAAGACCATCCCACACACACAAGATTTGTGGTTAAATCGAATCGATATTTTATGTTATCGAATTTATTATGCAAACACACTCAACGCTAATGCCAATTGGTGTTGAGTTGCCAAAAATGACACACGCACCAGGGATCTAAGCTCCCCCACATCTCCACAACACCCACACCCACACCCACACCCACATCCACACCCACATCCAAGGAGTAGGCGGATCCAGGTGCACATAAGATCCATGGAGTGGCATCCAGCTGGCAGCTGGCAGCTGACAGGCATCAACTTGAGGAATTGTATAAACAAGCAATTCGAGCAATTCCCTGTTTCCCCTGTTTAGCATTAAGTGCGATTATGGCTATTGGCATTGATGATGTTTATGGCTTCTGGCTCATTTATCAAATTAAATACGGACAAAATGCTTTCATCTCCATTTTTCATCTGCATACAATTGGACAAGCCAGCCAGCGATTGCCAATAAAATAGACACACATCCCTCACAAAATCAGTCAGTTGATGATGACTGAAAAAGAAGGTAACACAAAAATGCCTCAAAATGCTAATTACATTTTTGTAGCAATTGAAGCGAATAATAAGATTAGAAATATTAGCTCTCTTTTCCAAATTCCAATCAATTTTATAAGTTTTATTCAAGGTTTAATAAGATTTATTGCAGCGTAGTCCGATTTCGATACGCTTCCATCTTATTCTTGGTGAGTAAGAAATATTTGTATACAAGAACTCAATCTTGGACAGAGATACTTGGCATAATAGCTCCACAATAATTCTTACATAAACTGAACAATTTGAAAATTGTCATGAAGTTGTACAATAGTCAAGTCTATATATTGTTTACATATATTTCTTAGATTGCCTGCATTCTACAAAAGCCGACTGCTAATAATAATAGTAATAAATGTTTACAACTTTGTGTACAAATAGATGGCCACAATCAAACCATATAGACCCAGTACCTCGGCAAAGATTAGGATGAGAATCATGCCGACAAAGAGACGCGGCTGTTGGGCTGTTGCACGAACACATGCATCTCCAGTGATGCCAATGGCCAATCCCGACGAGAGTCCGGCCAGGCCAACTGCAAGTCCAGCGCCCAACTGGAGGAGACCTTTTTGTATCGTATAAAGTTCATCAATGGAACCGGCAATTAGCACAGCCACAACCAGGCCATAGATGGCTATAATGCCGGCCATCACCACCGGTATGATGGCCTTCATAATTAGTTCCGGCCTGGCAACAGCCATTGTGGCAATGCCAATGCCAGACATTGCCGTACCATATGCGGCACCGAATGATGAAAAGATGATTGCTGAGGCAGCTCCCAAGCTGCCACAGAATACCGCATAGCTGGGCATATCGTAATCCTTCTCGGCGGTTGACATACTCGTTACGTATGATTTGAGTAAGGAATTATTTGAACTTCAATGTTTTGGAATCGAATGGCAAATGTAAAAAGCTTCTACGATCGAGTAACAAAATCAAAGTTATTTTTTGGGTTGTTTTTTTTTTTTTGTTTTTGTTTTGGAAACCAATCGAGTGCGACTAATTTTTCTATACAGCTTTCCAATATACATATTTTTTTTCCTTTTAATGATAATTCTAATATTTATGTACGAGCTGATACAGCCATGTTCTGGCTGATAAAAAAAAATACGCTCATTCTTAATATGCAATTTTTGTTTTGCTTTTCCTCGGCTGCTCCGTGTTTGCTGCTAACGAGGTTTATCTTTATGTGCCGTTAAATTTTCCGTTTACCAATTTATATACATAAATGCATGGCGAAAATTGTGAAAATTTATGGTGCAAGGCGGTTTGCAGAATACTAGTCAGCATTCCGGGTAAATAAACCGCAAAGCGAATTCCGACTATTGAAAATCGATCCTGTGCTTTTTCCCACTTGCTTTTTGTTGTTTTTCCTCTACGGTTTTTGTTTTTCTTTTTTTTGCATGTACACTTTGAACGCTTTCAACATTTCTTTTTCTTTTTCGCACTTGTTTCAATTAAACAAATTGGAAAATATGAACCCTCTGGTCCCGAAAGGGGTGGTTGGGTGGAGTTCTTTCTTCTCCTGGGCGTGAGCTTAAAATGCGCAGCGGTTAGCTAGCGACAATTTTCTTCACACAAAACAAAATGGAAATTTGTTTGTGGCACCACTGGGGAGCACATGGGCGGTGTGGTGTGGCGTGACTGCCTGGCATATATATATATATATATATATATATATTGATATATATATATATGTATAGCCCTTATCTTTTGATGCCTTATGTTTATGAGCGAAGACATCAATTTTCGCACAGTTTGCCTAGCGGCAGCAGCAGCAGCAGCAGCAGCATCAGTGGAAATAGCAACTACAACAGCCACATTGTGTTTGTGTAGAGCAAAAAAAAATAAAAAATAAAGAAAAAAATAAAGCAAAACGTTTTGTTGAGTTTTCTTTTATTTTGCTTGAGTTTCGCTTCTGGTTGGCGCTGCTTTCATTCGATGTGATTTTGTTAAGTTGTCACTAAGGTGCCACAGATTCGTTGCGCCTGGGAATTTGTTTATGCATAAGGTCACCTTGCCATAAGCTTAATGAACATTTCATTTCTAAGTGGTTGCTTGTCATGCCACACACACACACACACACACACACACACACGATATTTAATGCCACTCAAAATTGAATCAGTTTCTTAGACGATTACTTTGTGTACAAATAGATGGCCACAATCAACCCATATAGACCCAGTACCTCGGCAAAGATCAGGATGAGGATCATGCCCACAAAAAGGCGCGGTTGCTGGGCAGTGCCACGCACCCCAGCATCGCCAACGATGCCGATGGCAAAGCCCGCCGCTAGACCGGCAAACCCCACAGATAATCCAGCTGCCAGATGAATGTAGCCCTTGCGTATCGTGTATTCCGGTGATAGGGAGCCGGCAATTAGCACCGATACAACCAGGCCATAGATGGCTATAATGCCGGCCATCACCACCGGAATGATGGACTTCATAATTAGCTCCGGTCGCATCACTGCCATAGCGGCAATGCCTGTTCCTGATTTTGCAGTGCCAAATGCTGCTCCCAGGGATGAGAATATGATGGCTGAGGCCGCACCCATTCCGCCAAAGAAAAATGCATATGGCGGCTTATCGTTTTCGTTCTCAGTCTGCGCTGCTTCACTCATTGCCCTGTTTCCCGCTTTCCCACTTTTCCAAGCTTATTATTTTCAAGTTTTCTTTTTTCACAATGCTCTCGATTTAGCTCGGACTGCTGGCTGAATAGGTAGAATTCAGTTGAGAATAGACTCACAATTCTAAATTCGCTTCGAAGCCTGCTCTCAGCTTACTTGATCCAGCTGGATTCATTTCTGTTCAAAGTATTGTATGACAGTAGGACATGTAAGATTTGATACTTTATGAGCTCAAATATTTTTTTATTCATATCCACCATTTGTACAGAGTTGTATTTCGATAAGGATTTGCAGTGCTTAACAGGTTTCTGTTTTAGTAAACTGAACTGTGAACTGTGACTAAACGGAATGCTTTGATTCTCTCCAAGAAATTTAATGGGATTAAATATATTTAATATATATTTAAAATAAAATTCAAAATATATGCTGCAAATATGAATGTCGAATCGAAATGATGAAATCTATTCCCCATTAGAAATCCGACCAATTCGCTAAGAAAAATAGATGGTTTGTGTTTAATGTACATATTTTCATTATGTTAAAATGAAAATAAAAAAAAATCGACAATTGCTTAAATCAAATAAAAATGTATTATTCAATTCAATTGAACGATTGAGCAGCCCTCGCAAGGTTTGGCTGACTGGCATTTTGGTGCCAAGATATTCCATTAAAGATTTATGTTGCGCTGGGATTTGGTAACACAAAAACTTCAGCTCCAATATCTGCCCAGCTTCTGGTCCTGTCTCTGCTCTTCGCCAGCTATTGTTATTGTTATTGTTGTTGTTGTTGCTGTTGCTGTTGCTGTTGCGTTTATGCCGTTTGTGCAACTATAAATCGTTTATGTATTTTGTTGAGTGCGAGGATTTATCGCTGGAGCTGAATATGAGAAAGGAATCACATAAATACAAATAAATCAAAAGCATTTCGAATGGCATTGCCAATACAAACAGGAATTGAGAAGAAATAGAGAAATACTCGTACACAAACACAATGTGGCTGTTGTAGTTGCTATTTCCACTGATGCTGCTGCTGCTGCTGCTGCTGCCGCTAGGCAAACTGTGCGAAAATTGATGTCTTCGCTCATAAAAATAAGGCATCAAAAGAATCGGGCTATACATATATATATATATATATATATATATATATATATATATATATATGCCAGGCAGTCAGGCAGGCTGAAAGTGTTTTTGTTGAAAGCAACATTGTAAATTTTATGACTTTTTTATGCGTTGAAATCTATAAATTATGTAAACTGACACTGACAGCTGTCAACCGAAGGCTCTGAGAGCAACACTGAACACTGAAACCGAAACGCTGGCAAGTGACACATGTGTCAAATGGCAGTCGCCTGCGAATTCGCTATGCGGCACAGTCCTTAGTCCTCAGTCCACCCAGCATCCCATCCTCATTCCATGTACCACAGTACCTCACCCCACCCAAGATACAGCAAAGAGAGGGCAACTGATGACTCGAGATGATTAAATGATTGCCAGCAGCAATAAAAAATTGATGCTTCAAATTATTGTTTTTATATACATACATACATACATACATATATACATACATACATACATACATCCATACATACATCCATACATATACGTATAATGTTTTTCCTTGCTTTTATTGTGTTTGCAATCCCAACAACAGTAAAAACAGTTCACTTTATGTTCATCATTTTAGAAGTTTTTAGAATATTATCAAACAGAAACTTTATAATATGCAACATAAAAGTACACATAAATATTTAGTATGTATGTCTATAAGCTAATAGAAGCTTATCTTGTCCAGTTTTCAAATCTCAAATTGTTAAATTATTAGCTATTCATTTCGTATACAAATTCTATATACACTTAGAAAAAAGAAATTGCACCGCGTTTTAGAAAATCGCCTCACCATATTATTTAGACAGTGTATTGCTAAAATGAAAGATTTCGACTTCCGAAGAATTACGATTTTTCTTAATTCCCGGATATTATTATCTGTGTGTTTTTTCTTATAGCGTACGTAGAATTCTAATATTTAATTACTATTTTCTGAATTTCAGAAATGATATTTTCTAAAAAATAACGTTTTGCATTCATACTTTTTCGAACTGTTTTGTATTATTAAGTACTATATTTCTGAAAAGTCGTAAAGCCTTTTTAATTTTAGGAAATTGTTGTTTTCTTTAGAAATTATTACTAAACTTTCTATTTTTCAGGCCAATCAAAGTTTCAGTTTTCTAAAATTCATGCCAATATTTGGTTTCCTGAGTGTATTGTGTGGAAATTTTAGCATTTTTCCGTCTTATTTTTAAGTTGAAAATCTTGAACTGAATTATAGCTCGTAGTTTGAGATTAAAGGCATATTATTTTACTTATGTTTTTTAGTATAAGATTCTATTAAGTTCGAGCTGTAAATCGTGAACTCAGTTGACCTGTTTAGCTGCTAGTTTTCACGTGTTGCCATTAAGCTATTCGCTTTATAAATTTCCCGAGTGCGTTCCTGTCAAGATGCAATAAATGCTGGTATGGGTCTGATATGGTATGGTTTAGTATTGTATAGCATGGTATGGGGGGAGGAATACGTACATATACCAAGTGCCGGCACTAAAATAACAAACGAAGTAAATTAACCAAAAATAAATTAACTGGAAAACCCGGCCACAAAGGGTTTTCATTTACGGTTAGTCTGCTGCTGCTGCTACTGCTGCTGCTGCTGGGATTCAAGGGGTGTCAACCGTGGTGCTGCTTCCGCTGCTGCGACAGCGGTGTCGACTGCGACGTTGGCTTTGTGTGTGACTTTGGGATTCCCAAATGTGCTTTCAACATGCAATTTTTATTATTGACTCGCATTGTCGTGTCAGCGCTCAGCTTTTCAGCATTTTCCGCTCGACGAGTCGCAAAAATGCCATTACTGTCAATCAAGAGACGGAAAAAATCCGGGAATGAAATCAAAAACATTAAAGCCCCACTCACAAACACGTATGTATATGTACATACCTCCCTATAGACATACATACATATATATATATATCTATATATATATACATATATATAAGCATTTTTGTTGTATCTCCAACTATGAGATACACTATCTATGTTATTTATATTTAAGTAAACAATCAATCAGAGTTGTACTAAAATGTATTCAATTCAAATCGGCTTTAAGCAGTGTTTAATTTTATTTGTATACCCTCGACACATTAAAAATGGGTAAATGGTTTTGTGCAAAAGTATGTAACAGGCAGTAGAATGCATCTTCGGCCCCATCGCATATATATTTTCTTGATTAGAGTTAAAAGTAGAGTCGAGTAAGATACGCTGAAATATCATTGGTAACAGTGACAACATATATGAATATATATGTATATTCATTCAAGCATTATTTATATTTATATTTGATCGCTTGTCACGCCAGCTGATAGTCGGTTCTTTAATATGATCGCATTAACAGGAAGACTAACGGAAAAGGCTAAATCGACTTGATTGCTTATACTTATAAGGATATATGTTATGCTCCAAGATGGTTCTTCTACCTGAATAGGCAGCAATTCTGTATTCAAACTGAACTTTTTAAACAAATTTATATATGTTCATATACAGTACACACAATTCAAACTATTCCCGTTTATTTGTCTACTCTCTTTAAGATCATCCACTTTAAGATTTGATACTCATCATTTGTATCAAAAAATGGGGAACTAAGTTCAATCGTTTCTAAAATGAGCACTAGTTATAAATAATTAAATATCTCTTATGATTCCGTCAAATATGATTTGATGCTACTGCGAACTAAATATATATATATATATATATATATATATATATTTATATATACACGTGTGACCTCTCTGTCTACGCTTATCTGTTGCCGTGAACTTAACAAATTTGAGCAAAAGCTCGAAATTAGAACCTGATCCAGGTTCCTCTAAAGCCATTGACGTCGTCTATTATCAGTGGTACTTGATAACAGCATCGTTCAATGCATATAAAATGCTATAAAATGTCGGTAGTCCGACTCTGAGAATTCAGTCTACATCTAATTCTATTGAGACCAATTAGCCATAGCAGGAAGAGATGGAATTAAATTGGGTTGCATTTACTTTATGCATAAGTCTGATCCTGATCAAAAGCGAATCCTCTTTCGCAACTACAGCGACGAAAAATGAAGTGAGTAAATAAGAATTAATTATATTATACAAGCGAGTTATTCTAATTCTAAATTATATCAGATCTGCAAAGCATCAAGGAGAGAGGAGGAACAATGCGGATCATATGCCTATAAGGCCATCAAACCACTGCTCATCTACATGGAATTGATGAGGACAGAAGTGGAGAACTATGATAATATAACATCCATTAAGAATAGGGAAATTAAAGGCCTTCAAATGAAGATATCCCAATATAAATCAGATTCAATAAAGAATTTGAGAGAGCAGATTATTGCTGGATTGAGGGAACAGATCATCAGCAAGGACAATGAATTAAAGCAGTTACAGCAAAATGTATATGAAACTATCATTCAGGAACTGAGAAACAGAACAGCAAGGCAGGACTCTGAAATCAAGGAGTTGCAGAAGAAACTAGTTAATCAATATGAAAATGTCGCCTTCATACAGGAATTGAGAAATCAGATAGATTTATACAAGAATAACAATGACAATTTGCAATCAATCAGGAATGAATTAAATAAGCTCAATTCACTAAAATATGAGGAATGCACAAGTGATTTAATCTCCAAACAAAAACTTCAAATCGAAAGCGATGCAATCAAATTGCTGGAGTTGCAGATACAGTTGGAGGAAGATAAGAAAACCATTGAGGAAAAGGATCAAGAAATATCCAAATTACAAAACGATGTCAACAAAAAAAGTGGCTTAAATGACAATCCCTTTGTTGGTTGCACATCTTTTGGAGATGTTACGGATGTTCATAAAACCAGTTTCTCTAAATATTCCTTTGATGTCTTATGCGACACGGAGACAGCAGGTCCTCGATGGACAGTTATCCAGCAGCGAATCAATGGTAAAGAAGATTTCAACAGGTCTTGGACAACATACCGCGAAGGCTTTGGTTCCTTTGATGGAGACTTCTTCTTGGGCTTGGAGAAGATCCATCGCTTGACGAGCTACAAACGCTTTGAACTCTATGTATATCTGGAATTTTTTGATGGCGAAACACGATATGCGAGATATCAACAATTTTCTGTTGCTGGCGAAAGCGATGAATACAAACTGAGCATAAGTGGATTCAGTGGCAATGTCACAGATATCATGTCAGAGTCTGACAATAATCAGAAATTTACGACATATGATCGTGATAATGATGACTGGAATGATGGCAATTGTGCATTTGAAGACCTTGGTGGATGGTGGTACATTGGCGAATGTGAAACGAGGTAAGTAAATGACTCTCTTCTTCATCTCTCAAATATTTAACTGTTTTCTTCTTTTCTTCTACAGAAGCTTAAATTCAAAGTACCATAACAGTTTATATGACTGGAAAGCTGATGGTTTATCTTCGTTTAATCCAGCCAAAAATGTTAAAATGCTTATTCGCCCAACATAAATAAAGAAATGATGCAAATTTAAGATGAATTGTACTTTGGAATTGTAAATGCAATTGAAAATGAACTCTCAAATAATTTAATTGGCACTGTAATTATAACAAATTTTTATGAATTTCTATGCCGAGCTAAATTTGGGAGCGTGATTGTATCTTCAACAGCTCGATCGATATGGATATGGAAACTAGAAATTTCGACAATGTCCTAGCAAGTAAAGAAGTGAAGATTAAGAAAGTAATTAAACGCCAATAATTTATGCATACACTTATACATCTCAACCAGATGCAAAATATTTATTTATATATTTCTGCTCCATTCGCTTATCATGCTGCTCGCTTTTCTCTTATTTCGAGAGATAAACAGAAAAATTAACCATACAACTAAATAAACTTGGTATGCGTTTTGTATACGAAAATTTCTATTCAAATTTTGTTATCCCTCTTAAGATTTTGGAAGTGTTTTCAAAGTTCAATTTGTAGATTAAATAAAATTAAAAATAAAGAAAATTTGGTTTTGCCGCTTCCAAATCATGTTTGCTTAAGGTTTAATATTATATTCTTGAGTCGAACAAACTAACCACAGAGGTTAGCTTTATGTTATACACTTTACACAATTTGTGGGGTGGGCCTTAAAGCCTCAATACTTTTCGTAGATAGGAGGGCAGCGGAGAGACTTAGACGTACTGTGTTTGGCCACTCAGGTGACAGTAATTTCGCGCCATCGCGCAAAGCAAAGCGATATGGTATTAAAAATGTTAGCGTGTCACATATCCATTCCGATGTATATATATATATATATATGTGTGTATAGGGGCAAATTTGAAAATTGTCTGAAACGAGCCCGACAACAGGCCGATGAGTGATTGCCAACATGCATCGCATATATTGGCGTGCCAAAGCTAATGATTTAGGCAGTACATAACTATATAAATATCAAGGTTTTGTTTTTTTTTTTTGGGCGTAACGCTTGTTGATACTAGTCCCTCCCCCCATCTGCACCCCTCGTGTCTAGCTGGTCAAAGTTTGGAGTTAGACGCTTTGCACTGATATATCTTTTATTATGTAGTTTTGTGTCATCGTAAAATCGTCGGCTATTACTTGATTGTCCTTCATGAAAGCCATAAAGGCGCTGACAGCTCCAAGAAACCCTCCTGTGGGCCTATGGGTGCCATTGTAAAATGATTTACTCGCCTCGCTTCTCGCTCTTAGCTCATTTGTGGCGGACGCGAAGCGTTTGGCTTCTGCCTTTCTTCACCAACTTCGCAAACTCAAAAGACTACTCATTTTTTATGGCTCTGTTTTTTTTTTTTTTGTTTTCCTCTTTTTTACGGTCTTTTACAGTTTAACGACGCATTACTGACACACAAACTGAGGGCAACCAGGCTAACGAAATCTATTCATGATTTCGTTTAACAAAATACTCCTCTTAACATTTTATCGTATTTATTCCTTCTTGTCTATTAGGCCCAGGCCACTGTTGATATTTGGTCTGCATTTCAAGTTTTCCCGTTTTCCTCGGGTTTGGTTCGCTTTTAATTTTTGGGCGTAGCAATTTTCTCGCATTTTTATGATATGCCATTTCGTCATTCCTATTGTATGTTTGTACTTCTGTATACATCGACTATATTGTATATCGTAATTTCATTTCATACTCGGCGATATTTTTGCTGACGACTTTGTTCGTTATTTTTTCACAGCCCAGCATTAAGTAATTTATACAGCCCGTATATTAGAACCATTTCGACCTAATGGACGTCTTAAAAATGCATTAGATTAATGAAACTGGATTTGTTTCCTGTATTTTGTGTGCTTGTGTGTATGGAAAACAGTTTTCTGCTGGGGTCATGACTTTATATATTAAATATGTATAAGTAAATAATAATGTACACATAATATACACTCTAATACTTGCGTAATTAAATATGAATCATGAGAAATAATAAAGAATAATAATAATAATAAAAATACTGACTTTCGATCCCTTTATATGTATACCGTATTTATGTATTTCTTTTTTTATTTTTTTTTTAAGTGTATCTGAATGTAAAGATATCGCCCGTACCTGGGAACCTAAACTCATTCCAGATATTAGACACCGCTGAGCCGGTGGCAAAGGTAGCAAATAATTCAGCTAGTTTATGGCCAGCGGGATTAGGGACTTTGGTCTATGAAAAATATACAGGTGGCCCTCCGCTTGAGACTTGGGTGCCGAGAAATGTCCTTATCACACGGCTTGTCAACATAACTCGAACAACGAAGCGTGAAGTTGTTGACATTGATTAGGGTGAACTCTGAACTCGCCGCGTTCGCCACTTGCACCTTTGCCGAATGAAATCGATGTCTGGTGGTGTCTGTTTCTAGGTTCTGTCCCTATTCCCAACACACAAAATACACTGCACAGAGTCGCTGAGTTATTGTTGCACATTTGTTGGCGATAAGCCAATGGCTCCCAAACCATCTCCCCAAAACTTTAACTTACTCCACCATTCAGTTTGTCTTTTTGTTTGTTACTTTTTCCTTATGTGATTTTACATTTAATGCCGTGTCATGGTAACTGCCAGCTCGACTGACTGACTGACTGCCCGCCGGAACACACATTAGATAAATTAGCCGTAATTAAACTTGCAGGTATTATAATTCCATCAATGCATTTGTAACGCATCGTTCATTCAAGTTTTTCTTTTCCTATATCATTTATTTGTATCTGTGAATAAAACATTATTGTAGCCAACGGAATAAACATTCAATTGTCTCCTTACAACTCTTGAATCAATTTTAGTCCTTCAGTTAAAATAAATGTCAGTTAAAGTACAGCACTTGCTATAGAGCATATAATCGTCGTTTCAGTTTCAGTTTGAATATTAACGTCTAAAAGTCTTTTCATTTTTATGCTTTTTTTCCCAAATGTTCATTTCATGTTGAATTCTCGACCATTTTGGCCATAAGTTATGTGTCATGACTGAGACGCAGACGTCGACGCTTTTGGCCAAGACGTCTTGGGGCTACGCTCAGATCTGAGATCTGAGATGAGGTGGATGGAAACATGAAGCGAACGAACAATCAGCATAAAGTAAAAACCTCATATCATTGTTAGGCGGGTGGCTCAAGTGGAACAAATTAATTTCGTTCGTTTTAATTATTTTCTTCTTTTGTCGCTCTTTCACCATCTTTCTCTGTCCTTAAGCGTTGCCTCTTCGTTAAGTTGTTATAATTCGAGTGCTATTAACTCACATGCCGTTGGGATCAATTTATGCTGGAATCATGGTTTAATTATTTAAATGAATTCACATTTACATTATTTTTTCTTCTTTCGATACAGAGAGAAGCTGCAAATCATGCACATCATCAAGACTTTAATGATGTCCCCTTGTCCAACGAACACCAAGCGTATTTTTTGTTATTTATTTTTTTTAAATATCATTCGAAAACTATATGTTTTACCATATTTCGTAGGTGGAGCTGCCAATTTGACATGCCAAGTTGGATACAGACAGTATTGTAATCGATTTTCAAAACTGAAGATTGAGAATCAAATTTGCTTAGCCGAGTTGGATATAGACAGTATTCTAATTGATTTTGAAAATCTGACAATTTTAAGATTTCATATTGAGCATAATTAGTTGTTCTTTATTAAACCGATTCTGATAAAGAATGAGAAATTTTACAGAAATTTTTAAAATGCATATATTAAATTTTATTCTGACTAGTTAATAAACTGCTTGCAAATACAGCTAATATATTAAGAATAATTGGTTCTTAAGGGATCGAGGAACCTTCGAAAGATTTGTATATATATTAATTGTTTTCTGTAGGCAAACTTTTAACTCTTATTTGATTAGTTGCCTTAGGCTTGCTGGTGAATGCATTATGCTCAAGGCATTTACGAATCAAAAGAAATGGGCGATATTAAAGGATTACACAATATATTGTATAGTATTCATCACGCAGTCTTTCCGGCCAAAACTCAACTGTTGACCCCATGACTTCAGGCATTGTTGCTGTGTTCGCTGCTCTTGTTTGCGTGTGTGTCCACTTAAGCCCGCTTCCAAAATCACATTCACACCCAACACACACACACACACACACACACACACACACACACACACACATACACACACACATACGAGTTGTAACCTTTGCTGAATAACACAAGCGCACGCAATGTTTCCGCCAAAAAGCAACACAGGAATAAGAAGTAGAAGAAGTCGAAGAAGAAGCCAAGTTGGGTTCTGTTTCTGTTTTGTGGTCCTGCCTGGGCAACAATACCCGCCGCCAGTCTAAAGTGTCCAATCAAGTTTTTCAAAGTGAAACCTAAATAACATGTCATAATAAATAACCTTCAAGCGACCCAGCGAAATGGACACGACCACACCAGGAGTGCAGGAGCTACCATCACCGATAGGGAGGGAGAATGGGGGGCATGGCCCGCACTGCACAAAAAGACGAAAATCCAAAAATTCTGTAATTACAACGTAAATCCAAAATGTCTCAACACAGCGCACAGCCGTTGCACACCCACACACACACACACACACACACACACACTAAGGTCGAAGAAAACTTAATTCATATATCAAAAAGTTTGTCCGACCAGGCTGGGCTCAAGAGTAGCAATTTACGCGCAAGTAGCCAGCTCCAAGTTCGAGTAATATATTGTACACACTTTATATACATGTATATGTATGTGGATACAGCCCCCCCATCCCAATTTGGGCGTGGCAAGGGGTGAGGGTGGGTGGTCAGCCGGCCGGCCGGCTGGTCTGTCGTGTCGAATGAGAAACACAGCAATTATGCAATTTGATAATACTTCATTCTCGGGTAATAAATATTAATTATTTTTGCGAATGTGATTTCTCGTGTTTCTCCCGCCTCGCACATACTCACTGAGCTCTAGTTTAGCTGAGATTTATGGTCTCCGCCCGCTTACCGAATCAAATGAGACGTTTTGCTCTTGTTCGTGCACCCTCCCTCCCCCCTCACTTCCCCCTCAATCCATGCCCGTTTTGCTAGCCGAATTTGCCAATATTTCTTCTTGTCCTCAACACGAATGCACGTCAGACATGCGGATTTGATTAAAGTTTCCGTGTTGTTATTCGGTTCGTGCGGTCGCCTTTCT